CTCAAAATTCTAATTTTAGGTTCTACAGCAGTGATATTATTTGAGGAGTGATTGGGGAAGTTCCAAATCTTGTGACCTCTGGAATAATGGCTGGTAGTTGTTTATGTCTACACCTTAGCAGAATTCAGGTTCTGTTCATGCTCCTAACCTGGTGAACTTTCATTACTTTTACAAAGGTGGTTTAGTTTTGTGGAATGGATATTATCATTTAAACTATAAACTAAATTTCTCCCCAAGTTAGCTTGGCCCAATCCCAGGGCAATTTGAAGGTTAAAAGCAAGATAAGAGTTGGTTCAATCAGATCTCTTCTGCTGTCATAATTTTCTCACTGTTAGTATTTTTGTAAAAGTGCTTTCAATATATATGCTATATACAATTTATTTTAATTTTCGATCTGCTTTAGAAATGCCAAAACACTCCAGTATTTCTTGGAAGAGATGCTATTAAAAGGTTAAAGTGAGACAGAGTAAAAGTTGAACTCTCAGCGTCAGGTGATGCCATGAGCATAATAAAGATAAATTATTCTCTTTATTATGAAATAATTAAATTCTTTCTTTGAAAGAAAGAATCAGTAGAGACTTGGAACAAATTGAAGATAGAGGTATAAGAAGGGTTCTTCCTAAAAGTTATACAATATATTTCAATTGAACTAATTGTTTACATATTCGATAACTTTCTCTATATATAATTTATACCCCCACCTACTTAAAGCCATTGATTACAATTTTTAAAGAATAAATAAATCAGAAAGGATAAGTTGTGCCTAAAGAAGAAGAACCTAAAAAGAAGAATCCATTTAGAGGTAAGGAAGAAATAAGGCCAGAATGGAATTGTTGGCACAATTATGTAGTAACTATACTTGTTCTTTTCAGAAACTTAAGCAAAATGAAAACCCAATGTGTTACAGAATTCTTGTTCTTCTTTCTTTCCTTCTTCGGGCTCCAAATGTTGTATACTGATAATTTTGCTGGATGCTGGAATAATAAAATAACAAATGATATGTTTTGCAATTGTTCTAGTGTTTTACACATACTAGCTCAATTACCAGTCCCAACAATCCAGTATGGTAAATTCTAATATAACCTTCCCTCTACAGATGAGAAACTTAAGGCACAGGGGGGATTAAAGCCCGTAAGCAGGGGAGCTGTAGTTTGATTTCAGCTAGCCTACCAGCACTGAGTCCATGTTTGTTTTGTTTTTGTTTTTGTACTTTTTGATGTGGAGTCTTGCTCTGTCATCAGGCTGGAATGCAGTGGGCAATCTCGGCTCACTGCAGCCTCTGCCTCCTGGGTTCAAGCAATTCCCCTGCCTCAACCTCCTGAGTAGCTGGGGCTATAGATATGCACCACCACACAATAAAATTTTTTTGTATTTTAGTAGAGACGGAGTTTCACCATGTTGACCAGGATGGTCTCAATCTCCTGACCTTGTGATCTGCCCGCCTCGGCCTCCCAAAGCACTGGGATTACAGGTGTGAGCCACCGTGCCCAACGAGGGTCCATGTTTTTAATCGCTACAGATGTTGCCTCTCTGCAAAATCAGACATGAAAGGAATTTTCTTTATCCTTATGTTGCTTTTGATGCAGTCAAATTTATGAATTTTTTTTCTTTGACAGTTTGGGTATGTGTCATATTTTGAAAGGAATTTCCAGTTACAAATTTACATAAACATTATCCCATAATGTCTGTTAACTTCAAGATTTCACGTTTTATATTTTAAAATATTTTACCAACTAGGAATTTATACAGATACAAAATATGAGGCTTAAATGTTTTATAATCAGGTAGGATCATGGCTCAACATCATTTATTAAATAATACATCATTCCATTACTGAATTAAAGTGCCACCTTTTCATATAATAAATTCCTTTATGTACTTTAATCTATTTCTGGACTTGATTTTCAATTCACTAATAATTTTTCATGTGCTAGTATCACATCATTAATGTATGATATTAACTTTCTTTTAATGGTTATCAAGTTCAAGTCTGCCCTAATAGGTTATGGTAATATGCTAGTGAACTCAAATATCTGTGTGGCAAAATGGTATATGTATACTGGACTGGGTTCCTTGCCATGAAAATGTAAATTGCACCTGTCTGGACTCTCAAACTGGCATTGAAAAGAGTGCGCTAGCTGAGTCTGCAATGGTGTATGAGTTTTACCAGGTTTGTTGAGTTCCCTGCAAAGCTCTGACTTATGTAGGTGCAGCTGAAACAATTGGGGAAACAAACTTGTTTAATCACCAAGACTGTTGTTAACCTCCAGTAACTGTATTCCTTATATACTCGCCAGAGGGGGACTGTTATGAGGGAGTTCATGGGAATTAAAATAACTCTTGCTTCAGGTACTTCCTTAATCAAAAAAGGCATCTCTTGTTGCCCTTCTGGAATTCTATCTTGCTTAGTTTTCACTAGCTAGAAAGGCTTGAGCAATTCCAAACGTACTTATTTAGCATGGTCAAATAATGCTGAGTGACTTTTAAGTGAATGAAACATCAACTAAGCCAATGCTTCATTCACTTAAAATCCATCTGTACTGTGCATTTAGGTAAAGCTGATGTGCCCAGAGTAATGGCTCCAGTCACACTTTCCCATTCATAAATTTATATCTACCTTGGGTTTCACCACCACAGTGTCTCCCACATCATCTTTGGACTTTTTAAAGCACCATAACTCTCCTCAAAGGCAATGACTGTACTTCAGTGTCTGTGCATACCAATCCTAAAAGTTCCACATGCCACCCTCTGGGCATTTCACCCAAATCATTGCATAGACCTTCAGACCTGGGGTACCTACTCCTTCTTATTGTGAGCCCTGGGTACCAAGCTTTTCCTTGTTGCTTTTCCTGAACTCCAGCTACACCTTTGCAAATAGTCTCTTTATTACACAGAAACACTGTGTCATCTCATTCCTGCTGTGACCCAGTTCTTGTAGAAAGAGGAAATTACAAGCCTCATATACTTTAATACTAAAAAGACCATATAAAATCTATAGTCTTTGATTTCACTCTAGCTAATAAAGCATAATGTTAAAACCAAAGCCAGCATTCTCTAATGGGCAGTTGTCAAAGAAGAACATATGGGAGGATAAAAGACTTGTTAATTCTGATGTATGAACTGACAAGTCTGTACTCTGTAGAATAATTTAGGGTGAATGGAAATGGCTGAAGCCAAAAGTGTCTGCAAGGCGTTTTTATGATATGCTAAGAATACAGCACCTAACCTGTGCTGGAGTGAGCCCACTTAATGTTAACTTCTATTCATGCTTTCTCTTGACAACTTAAAACTTCTTTATTTTTACATTTAAGAAATGCTAATTAGCTCTTAGTTACATTTCTTTGGAAATATAACACAGCTAATTAAAAAATTACAATTTGTAGAAATTTTGGATTTAACAGTTTTAATATACTTTGGATTGTTAGCTGAAACATATAAACCCTTCTATTTATATAAATAAGATATATTGCACATATTGTGACACATTTTCTTATCTACATAGAATAACACTTATTTGAGTTTTGGTGATGAGAAACTGAATCTCAAGGAAAAGTCCCACCCATGTTCTCTTAAGATGAAGCAAGGAGGTTAAAGCCCAAAATGAGGGAGTAAAACCATCCAGAAAATGCAGAAACCTCTGTAACATTAGAGGCTAAAATTATAAAGGAGTTTCAGTCTGGAAATACTAAGACTTTGAGCATCTATTAATAAAAAGATGTAAAACTTTTATGAGAAAGCTTCCATGGATGTCATAAATTTCCAGAAATCCTGACTTAGAAGGTACACTTTATGTTCTGAAAGATAATTTTATGTTAAGGAGGGAGGGAGGGAAGGAGGGAGGGAGGAGGTGGGAGGGAGGGAAGGAAGGAAGGATGGAAGGAAGGAAGGAAGGAAGGAAAGAGGATGGGAGGCAGAAGGAAGGTAAAGGGATTAGAAGGGGAGGGAGAGGAAGGAAAAAGTACTTGAGGTAGAGAGAACACTCAAAATTTCCACAGCCAATAATGGAACATACTGGAAGTAGAAATACAGTCAGACAAAATTCATGATGTTCAACTTGCTGGAGTTTTTAAGAGACATTTGAGGCATATCCCAAAACTTAATTTTAAGTTATAGAAGACAGTGCGACAATGTTACAAATTTCCTTGCTGTTCTGTCAAAAAAGAACATTATACTGCGATATTATTCTAGCCCGGGGTACCGTTTATTTGTTTGTTTATCTAGACAGAGTTGCTTTGTCACCCAGGCTGGGGTGCAGTGAGGCAATCTCGGCTTACTGCAACCTCTGGCTCCTGGGTTCAAGTGATTCAACTGCCTCAGCCTCCCAAGCAGCTGGGACTACAACCACCACACCCAACTAATTTTTGTATTTTTAGGAGAGAAGGGATTTCACCATGTTTCCCACACTTGTCTTGAATTCCTGGACTCAAGTGATCCACCCCCTCAGCCTCCTAAAGTGCTGAAATTACAGATGTGAACCACCTCACTTGGCCAGAAACTGTATTCATTATGAGCCTATGCTGCATTGTGTACCAGGCCCTGTGGTGAATATATTACATGGATTATGTCTCTGAACATTTAAAGAATGTAATGTATTATCTCTATTCACAGAGAAAGAAAACTGAGGTCTGGGGACGTTAAACAACTTGCCCCATGCCACACAACAAATACCCAGTGGAGTCTTGAGTCCAATACAAGTAATATGAATCAAGGCCCAGTCTCTTAAACATGCTCTCCTGCATTTGAGGAGAGATGGCCCTTGGTGTGAAGTGACAGGTAAAGACACACACACATACACATACACACACACATACACATACATACACATACACACATACACATGCACACGCACACACATACACATACACCCACATATGCATACACACACATACACACACATATACATGCACACACACATACACATATGCATATACACACACACACATACACAGGCACAGGCAGTCAAATCACTAACAAATCAGGAGACTTCAATATTAGGGAAATGGCTGTTTATTAATATATGAAAACAATATTATATGAGATCATCACAGTTAGTGTCCCCTTAGAATGAAGACACTGGTTATCTAAAAATAACCACAGTGGGGTCTGGTATAACATATTTTAATGAATGTGTTTATGTCTGTCATTTCCTAGAAGAACTGAATGGCCACTCTGAATGCCACATGAGACAACTTGACAAGGAAGTGTCATTTTTCCAGTGACTGGCTAGCTACAGAGCATTTTATATGACTAATGAAGACATTCATAGTATGACAAATATCACAAGGAGAGTTTAGCAGCAAGAAGAGGTGCAGCACATGGGGCGGGGGCAGGTGGAGATGACACAGGTTGGGCGATAGCAAGTGGTGTGGCAGGATACCCGGCCACAGACTGGACGCAGGCAGCAGCAGGGGCGGCAGCAGCTGGACTCACAGCAAGAGGGGCGGCAGCAGCTGGAGATGCAGCAGCTGGGGTGGCAGCAGGTGGGCTGGCAGCACACAGACTGGCAGCACTGGGGCCTGCAGCAGCTGGACACACAGCAGCTGGGGTGGCAGCAGGTGGGCTGGCAGCACACAGACTGGCAGCACTGGGGCCTGCAGCAGCTGGACACACAGCAGCTGGGGCGGCAGCAGGTGGTCCTGCAGCAGGTGGTCTGGCAGCAGCTGGGGCAGCAGCAGCTCTCCGGGCCACAGCTCTGCTCAGAGCAGACAGAGCCACAACAGGAGTTGACCATGGTGTCAGAGGGTGGAGGTTCTAGATGGGTTTCTAGAAGAATGAGGTTCTCAAGTTTGGAAGTGTTCTTGGGCCACAGCTTCTTATATACTGCCCAGCTTCCTTGTTTTTGTTTACTTAATAACTAAGTGATTATCAGATTGCACCATAATGTTTGTCCATTTAATGGTTTAAACTTGTTGAAAACATTTAAAGAACATAATGTATTATCTCTATTCACAGAGAATAGAGATAATACACTCTCTATTGTATTCTACATCTTTCTTGTCCAGATGTAGTAAGAATAGATATTACTACATCTGGACAAGAGCATTTTGTTGAAAACAAAGGGATTTTTTTCACATCCTTGCCAATAACTTATCATCCTTTGTCTTTTTGATAATAGACATTCTAACAGGAGTAAGGTGATCTCTCAGTGTGGTTTTGATTTGTATTTTCCTAATAATTAGTAATGTTGAGTGCTTTTTCGCATACCTGTTAGCCATTTGTGTGTCTTCTTTTGAGAAATGTCTAGTCAGGTCTTTTGCCCATTTTTAATCAGTTTTTTGTTTTCTTCCTTCTGAGCTGTTTGAGCTCCTTATATATTTTGGATATTAACCCCTTATGAGATGTTTTTTCTCTTATGAGAGTTATTTTCTCCCATTCTGTAGGTTATCTCTTCCTTCTTTTTGTGGTTTCCTTTGCTGTGCAGAAGCTTTTTAGTTTGATGTAATCTCAGTCATCTAATTTTTCTTTCATCGCGTGTGCTTCTGGGGTCATGTTCAAAAAGTCATTGCCAAGACCAATGTCATGAATATTTCCCCTAAGCTTTCTTCCAAAAGTTTCATAGTTTCTGATCTTACATTCAAGCCGTTAATCGATTTGAACTGATTTTCGTATATTGTAAGAAATAAGGGACTAATTTCATTCTTCTGCATGTGGATATCTAGGTTTCCCAACACAATTATTTATTTATTTATTTATTTTTGGAGACAGAGTCTTGCTCTTGTTACCCAGGTTGGAGGGCTGTGGCACAATCTTGGCTCACTGCAACCCCTGTCTCCTGGGTTCAAGCGATTTTCCTACCTCAGCCTCCCAAGTAGGTGGGATTACAGGCCTCTGCCACCATGCCCAGCTAATTTTTTTGTATTTTAGTAGAGACAGGGTTTCACCATGTTGCCCAGGCTGGTCTCGAACTCCTGACCTCATGATCCACCTGCCTTGGCCTCCCAAATGCTGGGATTACAGACGTGAGCCATCGCACCTGGCACTAACACAATTTATTGAAGAAACTGTCCTAACCCTATCTTCTCACCTTTGTTGAAAATCAATTGGCTGTAAATACGTGACTTTATTTCTGATCTCTGTATTATATTCCATTGGATTATGTGTTTGTTTTTATGTCACAATGATGGTATTTTGGTTACTATGGTGTTGTGGCTTATTTTGAAGTCTGGGAATGTGATGCTCCTAGCTATGTTCTTAGTGTTCAAGATTACTTTAGTTATTGGTGGTTCTCCGCAAATTATAGAACTGTTTTTTTTTTTCTATTTCTATGAAGAATGTCATGGTATATTTATAGGCAGTGCATAAAATCTGTAAATTGCTTTTAAAATATTTGGACAATATTAACTCTTTCAGTTCATGAACACAGGACATTCCATTTATTTGTGATTTCATCAATTTCTTTCATTTTCGTTTGGCAGTTTTCAGTGTAGAGATCCTCACTTTCTTGGTTAAATTTGTTCCCAAGTTTTAATTTTATTGTAACTATTGTAAATGAAATAGTTATCTTGATTTCTTTTTCAGATAGTTTGCTATTAGTTTATAGAAAACCTACTGGGTTTTGTATGTTGATTTTATACTCTGCAACCTTACTGAATTTATTAGTTCTCACAGCTTCTTAGTGGAGTCTTTAGGGTTTTCTACATATAAGATCATGTCACCTGCAAATAGAAACAATTTAACTTCTTCCTTTCCAATTCAGATATCTTTAAAATATTTTATTCATGTAGATTTATAAAAGTATAATCTTGTTACATGGATATATTGCATAATGGTCACATCAGGATGTTTATAGTATCCATCACTGAAATAATGTGCATTCTGCCCTTCAAGTAATTTCTCATCATCCATTCCCCTCCTATAACCCTTCCCTTCAGATTCTCCACTGTCTGTCATTTCACACTCTGTGTCCATGTGCACACATCATTTGGCCCCACAGTAAGTGAGAACGTGCTATATTGTCTTTCTATGTCTCAGTTGTTTCACTTAAGATAATAGCCTCCAGTTCCATCCACGTTTCTGTAGAAGACATGATTTCATTATGTTTTATGGCTGAAGAGTATTCCATTGTTTATATATAACACATTTTCTTTATACAGTCACCCATTGATGGACATTTAGGTTGATTCCATATCTTTGCTACTATAAATAGTGGTGTGATAAACATGTATGCAGGTACATTATTGGTATAATGATTTCTTTTCCTTCAGGTAGACACTCAGTCATGGGATTGCTGAATCAAATTATAGTTCTATTTTTAGTTCTTTGAGAAATCTCCATACTGGTTTTCATAGAGGTTGTACTAATTTACATTCCCAACTGTTGATGGGTTCCCTTTCAGCTGTATCTTCATCAACAATTGTTATTTCTGTCTTTTTAATAACAGCCATTCTGACTGGTATAAGATGATTGTTCAATGTGGTTTTAATTTGCATTTGTTTGATGATTTAGTGATGATGAGCATTATTTCATATGCTTATTGACCATTTGTATGTCTTCAGATATAATGATATGGAAGAAAAACAGATTGAAGGCTGGGCATGATGGCTCATGCCTGTAATCCCAACACTTTTGGAGGCTGAGGCAGAGAGATCACTTGAGATCAAGAGTTCAAGACCAGCCTGGCCAACATGATGAAACTCCATCTCTACTAAAAATACAAAAATTAGCTGGCTGTGGTGGCAGATGCCTATAATTCTAGCTATTCAGAGGGCTGAGGTGGGAGAATCACTTGAACCTGCAGGGTGGAGGTTGCAGTGAGCTAAGATGGCACCACTGCCCTCCAGCCAGGGTGACAGAGCAATACTCCATCTCAGAGAGAGAGAGAGAGAGAGAGAGAGAGAGAGAGAGATATTAAAGACAACTAGTCTAGAGATAATTGTGCCCAAACGGAGAGGAGGAGGAAGAAGGAGAAGGAGAATGAGAGGGAGATGGAGGGGGAGGGGAGGGGGAGGGAAAATGGGGAGGGGAATGGGAAGAGGGAGAGGCAGAGGCAGAGGCAGAGGCAGAGGCAGAGGTAGAGGGAGACGGAGAGGGAGAAGGATGAAAAAGAGGAAGAAGAAGAGGAAGAAGAAGAAGAAGAAGGAGGAGGAGGAGGAGGAGGGGAGAGAGGGAGAGAGAGAAGGAGAAGGAGAAGGAAGGAGAATGAGAAAGAGAAGGAGAAGGAAGAAGAAGAGGAAGAGGAAGAAGAAGAAGAGGAAGAAGAAGAAGAAGAAGAAGGAGAAGATTATTCAGAATATTTTTGAATTTAGTAGACAGTACACTCAAGAGTTGACCATGACACCAGGGTAACCACTGATACTGTACAAAAATGATTTAATTATGTTACATGAAATAGGCAAAGCACAGAAAGACAAATTGCTAATGGAATAGAACTCATGAAGATAAAGAATAGATTGCTGGTTATCAGAGTCAAAGGGGAGTGGCTGGGGGAAATAAAGAGGTTGATTGATGGGTACAAATATAAGTTAGAAAAATATGGCCTATGACCTAGTGTTCAATAGAACTGTAGGATGACTACAGTTAACAACAATCTATTAAATATTTCAAAGTAGCTAAAAAAGAATAATTCAGATGTTCCTAGCTTAAAGATAAATTATGATGAATAATCCAATTACCCTGATTGAATCTTTCCACATTATATGGATGTATCAACATTTTATATGTACATCTGTTATATATCAATAAAAAAGAAAAAATGTCTTGAAGGACACTAATACTGAAATTAGAAACACTGATGTCTTAGATTGGGAACCCACTGGAGCAGACCCAGGAGTATAAGTGGGAGATGGTCTCAAGAAGTGCTGAATGGAACATGAAAAATGCTCCAGGAAAGGGAGGGAAGTAGAGACAGGATGAGTTAATAATCAGAATACCCCTCTAGGCAGCTGGAATTAGGTCTCTCTGAGGACCTCTGAAAGGCTGCTACAACATGTTCCCAACTGGAGGAGAAATAACTAGAGCATGTGTTCACCAGCCCCCACTTTGTTGAGTGCTGTCCCAAGAGGCTGCGTGTGTGTGTGTGTGTGTGTGTTTTATTATACTTTAAGTTCTGGGGTACATATGCAGATCTTGCAGGATTGTTGCATAGGTATACACATGCCATGGTGGTTTGCTGCCTCCATCCCCCCATCACCTACATTAGGTATTTCTCCTAATGTTATCCCTCACCAACGTCCACACCCCCTGTTATTGTTCCCCTAGCCCCCCAACCCCCAACAGACCCCAATGTGTGTTGTTCACCTCCCTGTGTCCGTGTGTTCTCATTGTTCAACACTCACTTATGAGTGAGAACATGCGGTGTTTGGTTTTCTGTTCTTGTGTCAGTTTGCTGAGAATGATGGTTTCCAGATTCATCCATGTCCCTGCAAAGGACACGAACTCATCCTTTTTTGTGGTTGCATAGTATTCTGAGAGGCTTAAACTCTATAGTCCAGAGCTTGCTCCTTGGCTAGAGAAACTCTTCAAGAGTAGAGCTCCAGGTGCTTGTTCTAAGAAACCACCATTGTATCTTAGAATAAAGAGTGCTGAGGAAATAGAGGTGGTGCCCCTGAAAATATGTGCTGTGGTCTTCTCCTCTGCGGAGAAGAGCAATGGAAAAATTGACTGATAATGACGACACTCAAAAAAGAAAACTAATGATACACAGTATCTGTATATTTATATGCCTGAAAAATTTATTTAAGATTTATTTAGATAAATATTTGTTTAAAATGGGATAGTTTCATATGAGAAATTATGGCAGAGAGCAAATATTTCAATTAAGGTAGTTGACAGATTTCAGAGCAAATTACAACTTATGTTCATTTGGTACAGAGGTAAAATGTTGGGGGGGGCACATATTTGGAGGTCAGATTCTATCTAAGAATCAGTTGGAACTGAAGTTTTCTAACTAGCTTCCCATAACTAAGCTCGCAGATGAACTACATCAGGAATGCTGGCTGATGAGAATCAGGTGAGTCCAGATGAGAGCAGCAGCAGCAAGAACCGCTAGAGCAGGTTGGGTGGGAGCAGGTGGTCTGGCAGCAGTTGGATGGCAGCAACTGGACACACAGCAGCTGGGTTGAAAACACTGGGTTCTGCAGCAGGTGGTCTACCAGCAGCTGGAGTGGCAGCAACTGGAATCGCACAGGAAGGCCTGCAGCAGCTGGAACCACAGCAGGAGGAGCTACTGCTGCTAGAGATACTGCAGAAAGGCTGGCAGCAGCTGGAAATGCAACAGCTGGGGCAGCAGCAGGTGGTCCTGCAGCAGGTTGTATGGCAGCAGATGGGCTAGCAGCAAAGAGACTGGCAGCACTGGGGCCTGCAGCAGCTGGACACACAGCAGCTGGGGCGGCAGCAGGTGGTCACACAGCAGCTGGGGCGGCAGCAGGTGGTCCTGCAGCAGGTTGTCT